AATATGACGATTTTTCAAATGTTCAAGATCCTGGGTACAAGATATCAAGAAATATCTGTACCCAAGGTCTTGCGTAAGATCTTGGGTACAAAAATGTCCTGAGATCTTGTACCCATTTTTTCAAGATGTAGTGCCAAATCTTAACGTAAGATCTTGGGCAAGATCTTGGTTTCAAGATGTTGAACTAGGGATGGGTTGATTTCCGAATTCCGTAAATCAGTCCATCATCAACTTTTGTAATAGAAGTATATATATAATAGAATATAATCTAAGTCAATAGGTTATGGGAAAATTTTTTTCTCGAAAATCAAGAGAAATCATTAGTCTTTCTTTTTGGCGACCTTCATACATCTCCACTGACGAGTCCGAAAAGATTTTTCAAAAGTTAAAAAGTTGATCGAAATCGGCAGAAAGTTAAAATAGTTATAAACCAGTGCAAGATTTATAAAACAGTTTCGAATTCATAAATCAGTTCCAGGTTTATAAATCGGTGTCAGATCTATAAATCGCTTCTAGTTTTATAACTTTTAAATTTTCGATCAAAAGTTAAAATAGTTATAAATCACTATTTATAAATTGGTTTATAACCTGACCTATTTCGGACTCTTCAATGTATATTATCACATAATATACATTGAATACATCATAATAAACTTATTATTATGTGTTGTTTTTTTTCCTTATTGTATTTGTTATAGTTTACCTGTTATTGATTAAATGTCTGTTACATTGTTTTAAAGAAAGAGAAAAGACATGACGTTTCTTTTGTTTTACTCGAATCGCAAGTAAATGCGCAGAACAAATTTAACTCAGACTAAGAAAGCTAAGATAGGTCCACATTTTAGAACGCAAGCAGAAAACAGTTTTACAAACGCTACTTGCTGAAAGTTTATTTGAGACCACTTTGTCTACTTTGCAGTTTAGCACAAAGTGGACGGTGCCACTTTAGGATTCAGAACAAAATGGTTCAATCCATTCTGATTACAAATCTCAATAGAAACACTGTACTCCACTCGAACTAAGACAGGGACGAGGTAAAGCAGAAAAAACTGATATATATTAATCAATTATCTTCAGCAGCTTACCTTGGCTTAAGTTATAAGTTAGCACTCCACTTACATATGAAATGTTGTTTATTGCTAGATGGCTCTTTGACTACAAATACTAAGCGTACGTACATAGTTTATCTATCATTTTAGCGAATATTTATGTATAAATCTTTACAGTTATCGCAACGTCATGGGTAAGTTTGGAAGACTTATGAGCGATCTAAAAACGAAAAATGCTCTCTGTTGCAGTTACTGATATCAAAAATATAACGAGTATTCAAATTCATGAGCTAAACCGTATACTGGAAGAATCAACAAAATTAGATGAACTTCCGTATGATGTTGAATCCAATACAATTTATCGTTTAAGTTTAAATGATATGACTAAAGGTAAGTTTTTGAGGATGATATACTTCAGAATTGAACATACTGATTATAGGCCTTATTTTTAGTTATGTGTCATGTAAAAGCAAACTGAATTTTTATTTTTTACAAAATCAATTTTTTTCACTGAAATTTCGAATAGAACCTATTAGAATTTAAGCCGTAAACTTTTAGTATAATACGTTGTGTAGTTCGGACACACGACGAGCACAAAAATGTTGATTTAAATCATCCACGTCATAGATAAAACTGTCAAGAATTAACATACCTTATTTATGGTCTTATTCGATCCAAAATACAGGATGTCCTAGGAATCCAAGTTTATAGACTTTTCTAATGTATTTTCGCTGAGATCTCTGCAGGCCCTCGATTCAGTTCAGAAAAACACATTAGTGTTAATAGATATATAGCTGCATGGATGTATAGATATATATAGATGTGTCGATATATTCCTAGGATAATTTAAAATTTTTATCTCAACTAGTGCAGATGAAAACGTTTTTGATGCGAATTAACCATTCGAACTTGTGGAGATTAATTCGAACTAATTTAATATGAGACTTTTTTAAATTAGCTCAAATTAATTCCCGAAAGTTCCAATGGGTTTCAGATGAAAATCCGAACTTGTCCTAGGACTACAATTTCAACCTGAACCGAACAGAATGCACTAGGACAATTTAGAATTTTAATGTGAACTAGTCCAGTCTAAAATTCAACTAAGTTGAGATCGAAATGCATCAAAGTGCGTTTTTTAAGCATTATTAAACAAGATGTGAGCAGATAAAACAGAGTATATCTTCGGAGTATATATTCAGCGTAACTCTGCTATCGGAAAGGTGATTGCGTTACCGTTTCTAGAGAACTTCAAAATGTTATAACTTTTTGAGAAGAAGTCGTGGAGAGTTGCGCAACTCCCTCCCTTTAAAAGAAGATTCGAAGTACTTCTAAACTGAATTCAAGAATACTCCTGAAAACGTTTCGTTCAGACGGTATATCAAGATAATTGGAAGGTACTATTTTGAAAAAAATTCAGTTGAGACATCTCTTTTTTCTTCGTGATATCGTCCAATTATCTTGATATACCGTCTGAACGAAACATTTTCAGGAGTATTCTTGAATTCAGTTTAGAAGTACTTCGAATCTTCTTTTAAAGAGAGGGAGGTTGCGCAACTCTCCACGACTTCTTCTCAAAAAGTTATAACATTTTGAAGTTCTCTAGAAACGGTAACGCAATCACCTTTCCGATAGCAGAGTTACGCTGAATGACCGAAGATATACTCTGTTTTGTCTCCCCGCCTTCCCTTTTCCCCAGTTCTAGAACAATCCATATTTTCAATTTATATTGAAAAAACCAAGCTTTTCTACCTTAGAAAAATACGCATTTTGAATATATGCTAGAAAAGTAAGTTTTTCTACTTCTGCTTTTCTTTCGCCATAATTGAATGTCAATTTATTTTCAAAATGAAGGAAATCTATATACTTATATTGAAAATCATCCAAATATCTTTTTATATTCGACATTCTATGATCTCCTGGACAACCACCTTTTTTCTAAATAACTCATCTAAAGATCAAGTACTCTGAATATCTAATAATCGTTCTGAAAAAATCATTAGTTTTTTCCAAAAAGCATAATCGTGAAAATCAGACTCTGTTGAGCGTTAAGCATGTCGCTGATACGGTGTGAGTCTAAAAATTTTGTTTCAACACCATTCGAAAGAGCAAAAAAGCCGAACAAAAGCGGATAATGCATTTGTATTTGAATGTTGAGTTTAGTATTAAAAAGCTAAATTATGAGTACTTTATCTTTTAAAAAAATAAATTCTTCTTGTTAAAGTTAAAATTGAGCGTATTCTGGGTACTCGTTTAACACAAGAATCAGTGTATTCTGCAATATGAAGGATTCTGTGCATGATAGACCTATCAGAATCGTAAAATAAATGTCAAATGGTGATCAAACTGGGCAGACAAAGTACAGAACGAGGCTTCAAAAACGTTTAGTTCTTTTGAATTTTTGGTTTTTCTTATACTAACGAAAGATTACTGAAGTTTTAAAATACGAAAATTTACTAGAATATATAAATTGTTATTAATGGAGTAACATTGTTTGACTGACACAGCTACATTTATGGTCAAGTCTCGATTCTAGCAAATCGAAAATAGAGACATGGTATCAATCCCGCTCAAATCTTGCACAAATGAAAAACGTCAAAATCAACTCTTACAACTTCTAGAAGAGGATTGAACAAGTTAGCCATGGAGAAAACATCTTAAAGTATTTGAAAAGCAGCATCGACACTTAGTGGATAAAGTTCTTGAGAAAATAAAACGTAAATTGTGTTATAAGCCTGAAAATGCACCAGAGAAAGTGTATAAATCGGAGTTATATGGTAGTTTTTTTTCACGTCTGAATAAATATTGAAACCTGCTAAACAAGATCATATTTTTCTCGAATGATGTTAAAAGAATAAGTCTATCTGGAATCGAGAAAGGAAATAAATAAAAAGTTTAGAAGAATGAAAGAGCGGTGCAATAGAATGAGATAATACAATCGATGTAAAAACAGCAGTCACCTGATGAAAATACTCCTAATGTATCGGAAACCTTTAGACTCTCGTCTACATTAAAACAATGCATCTAACAGATCTCAAATGTATATAGCTTCGAAAAGGAATAAAACATTTGACTCGATTCATTTCTGGTTTGCTTAACTTCAACATATAGTCCGGTACCGCTCGTCATCTTCATTTTTTTGGTTTGCTTTGAGAAAAAATGTGTTCACTTTTCATTTGCTGGCTGCCGTCCTGCATTAACATTTCCTTAAGTTAAAATTTTTAGATACTGCCATTGGAAATCTGATTTTAAAATTGTTAATGCAAGAAAAGTTTCTGAAATCCATAAATTATACTCGGGACGTCTGCATCGGTTCGTTTAACCGATGTTTCCGTTATTTATTGTAATTTGGAATTAATTTTTAACGGGTGTCTCAGGTGAAATTGCGCTAAATCTCAGCGCATTTTTCTTTCGTTTCTTAATCATCAAAGAAATGCCGTCTTATGCCAAAAGATAGAGAATTTTCAAGCTCTACAAAATTGTCTTGTTTGTGTTTCAAACAAGTTTTCCTTGTGGGCGCAAAATTTAAAAGATAAACGCCTACTTAATCGTCCAACTGCGACGGTCAAAAAAACGAAAAAGTGAGGAAAAAGTTTTAAATAAAGATCCTGCTGAAATTTCAACTATCTCACGAAATTCTACATCTTCGGATGCATGTTTCAGAATTTTAGAAGAAATATTTGGGAGAAACAGTTTTGAAGTAAAAAGTGTGAAAACACCGAAAAAAGTCCTTTTCTGGTAGACCTATGCCATTGTTATTATGTCGATAAACATTATGTAATCGTTCTGAGATTTTTGCTTTTTTTTCTTGTTTAGTCACGTTTTTTGAAAAATGTGCACGACGTGATCTAGTGAACTACAGTACGTAGAAAACTTCTGAAAACGGGAGCATAGTCTCTGGGTACTACAGATTGATAACTGCACGTTCTTTTTTCAAGCACAAGTCCAGATTCGGCGCCATAAGCTACACACAAGTGGAAAAAAAATGTGTTTTGGACTTGAAAGTTTTTAGATTTTATTAGCATCAGTTGTCCGGCGCCATTTGATCTTAAGAAGAAAAAGTTTTTAATTATTCGTTCTTTATAAATAAAAACAGAAAGACATTCAAGTGCTGAGAGGGACTTTTAAGTTAGAAGAAGAAGAAAGAGAAGATTTATTATTTCAAAACAGAAGAAATACTGAACAACTGGATATTCATTGATTATTGAATGGATTGGGAGTATTCGCTTCAAGAATAAAGAAGAAACTCTAATTACCATACAATTGCTACTACCATCTTTAGGAGGCTTCTTCTGTTTTAGATATTTAACTCAAAGAGGTTTTACCCGAGTGTTTTTTTGTTTAAGCATATACAAACTTTAAAACCAGTTTGATGTTTAAATCTCATTAGCATTCGTTGTTCTTAAGAAGAACAATAATTCTCTCTCATTTCTTTTTCTCTGTTCTTCGTACTGTAGCTGAAAGAGAAAACCATAGTGAAAGTAGTATAGTGAAAATCTACTTACTCGATTGATAACTTTTGGTAGCTGTCAGCAGACACGCAGTCTATCGACATCGCAACTTGTGCGCAGCACAATTGCTCTCTAGTTTTTTAATTCGAAACAACCGAAATGTTTTCACTGGTCAATTTGATACTTACACCGTTTTGTCTGGATTTTGAAAACATGGTTTTCCAAAGTGCACTCAAAAATAACAACAGGTGTTACTTCCAAGTCCTTTTCTCCTGAACACCAGCATCAGGAACCTTGAAAAGGTCGTGGAAGCATAGAGCACAAAATTCTTTGTATATGTGTTAAATAATTTACTTTTAGCATCGGCCTTGATGAGCAAAGACTTACACAAATCAATAAATGTCAGCAGAAAATAGGAAATCGCAGTTGAATAATTGAGTAGACGTGAATCTGTTAAATTTTGTGCCGACAAGGAAAACTTGTTTGTAAAACAAAGTCCACAGTTTTGTAGAGCTTGAAATTCTCTATCTTTTGGCATAAGACGAAATTTTTTTGATGATTAAGGAACGCGGGGAAAATGCGCTGAGATTTAGTGCAATTTCACCTGGGACACTCGTTAGTTTATAGAGAATCGACCTCGAAAATCCCCCGACAATTTTCCAACTTTAGAAAAATCCTCAGCGATTTTATGACTTTACAGAAAATAGATGTAGAAAATCGAATTCGATTTGCTAAAAAGTTCAATTGGGCATTTTTTTATAATAGAAATTATATTGTTAGCGTTGAAGGAGTAAAATTAATCACAACCGGTAGTCAGTGTGTTGCCATTGCTACTTTATTAGCTGTATGCGAGGTTTTTAACATTAGTTACCTGCATAATACAAAATTTATTTTCAAACAATAAATGGTCTTGTTTTTAAAACAAGAGATTTTAATTTGTCACTTGGTTCACAACGTTTTCTGGATTCGATGAGTTTAAGAAAATGTCACTGCAATTAAATTAGGAGTGAGATAAATCAGAGCGAAAGTTTAATCCCGTTTTCTTTCGTATCAGTCATACTTCATAGTAACATATTTTTGCTAACAATGACTATGTTCATCACCTTCTAATTTAAAATATGTGCCGATGATGGGCTTTTGGAAAAGTAATGAACTAGATCGCAGGAAAAGAAAAGTGCTAACTTTCTTCTTTCACGTCTTTTTCTCTTCGCTTGGGATCTATCCAAGGCTTCGTTGCTGCAAACTTAGGTTGTAACGGGTCTCTGTTGCTTTTACCTTTAGTACCTGAGAACAGTAGGTACAATGCGAAAAGCGCGCTTGTTCAGTTTTTGCAAAATAGCATGTCTTGTGAGAAGAATTATTGTTGTTGGACACTTTCGAAGAACCTAGAGCTACAGAAGAGACTCTTGGCGATTTTCTGAGGATCGTAAAATGATGCGTCATGGGAATAAATCATGTATTTTTTTCTGAGTATGATCTTCAAAAAGTGAGACTCGTTCTGTTGATACAAAGACATGATCCATCAATTCAAGTTTATTTTTCTTTCATTTTTAAACAAAAATACATATTATTTTCATTTTCAAAAATGTTACAGCTGTTTTATTTTTTATTTTTTTTATTAGTATTAATTAGGTTGTTTGTAAGGAATCTATCAAAAGAATAAAAATAGACGTTATGAACCTATATATGGATCATTTATTTTTATTCTTCTGAGTTGTAAATATGAAAGTTAAAGGTTTAAAAGATGCATAATAAATAATATTGAAATTTTACTTAGTTGTTGACGTCAAAGCTCCACAGCTATAAATAATGAGTGAAAAAGTTTATTTTTATTCGTTAGGGTGTCTTCTGAAAATTCGTCTGCGATTTCCTAGAAAGTAGAAATTAATCCGGATTTCGAATTTCCGAAAGTACCTATGTAAAATCGTTGAGGAATTTCCACATTCTAGAAATCCAAGAATCTGGAAATTCGATTTTCTAGAATTTGGAAATTCGTCAACGATTTCATATAGATACTTTTGGAAATTCGCTGTGCGTTTTCTATAAATAATTCCCGACTTTACGGTATAATCGCAACCGAAATAACCGAGCAACAGCTAGTTATACCTGAATAAATTTTATGTTATGCTTTTTAATGTAATTGTTCTTGTCTCACTGCTGCTTATTTCGTTTGAAAGATAGCACCAGAAAAACGACTTACCAACTGAGAAAAATTCTAACTGTTGCCAATTACAGTTTTCTCATGTGCGTGAAAAATCATCAGTTGTGTTTTCAGTTTTATCCAAATTTTGAAAAGTAGAGCAATAATAATCAAAATTAAGCAGATCATAAAAGTTCTTCGATTATAACCAAACTGGTCTTCGGTTGTTTAGGTGTCAGTTCCGAAAACGATGCATACCTATACTTCACTAGACGTAGTTTTTTGACAAACATAAAGGGGGACAACATTAAGGGTTTTTTTCTCATAATAGTTTCATAGAAAAAATTTTGTAAAAATTAAAAATATTAGAAACTCAATTTGTTTAAATGAAGTCTAAGAGCGAAAAACACGACCGGCTTGAAATCCGCGTCACAACAGCTAAAATACTTGAAATCTTGTTCTTTAAAAAATTCATGGGCATTTTTTCATAAAAAATTTTTTCTTATTGTATTATGATTTCAAAACGGAATCAAAGCATGACATACTTAAAAAGCCTGTAAACTGGTATATTTCAAAGAAATTGGAGTTAGGAGCCTGGAGAGGTTTCCTCCTTAGTGACCTTATGCATTTATCGGGTGGCCCAGAATAAACGGATCACTTCTGTTCTTTGTTTTTCAGGCACTTCCCAGGGGTCCAAAGAGTTGGTTCTAGCTCATTCGCTAGCCGGTTCTTCGGATTTAAATAGCAGGTTTATTGAGAATTCAATTCTCTGTCGAATGAGCCTAGAACCAACTCTTTGGACCCCTGGGAAGCGCCTCAATAACAAAGAACCAAAGTGATCCGTTTATTCTGGGCCATTCGTTACTCACACTTTGTTTGTTTGGGCCCTGATTAATAAGACTGCCTTCTTTGTACATGATAATTCCGTTCATTCTTTCTTAGATGATTATAAATCCGATGGTTTTATTTGGAAAAATAATAGCTCCGCTCCATATACTAAAAAGAAAAATTTATTTACAAAGAAACATTATACTGTGTTCAACTCAGATGGAAAAGTGGATAAGCGTTTCGTGAAACACGTTTACATTTAAAATATAAATAAATTCGATGTGGTCGTTGTTTATGTTGGTGAGGTTCATATCTAACTGTAATGTTCAGCAATATTTGTTTTCTTTCTATTGTTGTGAAGGAGACAAACAAATTGGTAAACGACAATCTCACGGTAATTGCAAATCGTCGACAAGTCATGTATTTAAAAGAATATTACCATCGACAGTTGTTCAGATCGAGAATTTAGTCAGAACACAATCCAGTTCCACAGCGTACAAATCTCTTGTTGGAAATGCAACAAAAGAACCACCAAGAAACGTTAATCAAGTCAAATATGTACGAAAAAAATTTCTCCGACAAAAACGTCTTACGTCAGATGAGCTCTCGAATCTCTACTTGTTATCTTTGGAAATTGATAATTATGTTCGTGAAATGTCATTACAACCCCAACTTACCGTTGTACTGATGCACGAACAAGCCGAAAAAAATTTTCAACAATTATTGTCAATAACTAAAACCCCTATTACTTTATATTACGATACCACTTTTCAGTTAGGGGATTTTTATGTCTCGGTAAGTTACTCCAAACTCGCAAACTAGAAACAGACACTAACTTTGTTTTCATTTTTATTATTTTAGATATTAGCCTATGTGCATCATAGTTTTGTTGAAAATCCAGTCATACCGTTGGCAATATTAATCCATGATCATAAAAACAGAGAAGCACATGATAAAAAAACCAATATTTTAAAAGCGCATCCATCGATAGGAAAAAAGTGTATTCTTATTAGCGATGGTGAATTATCATTTAAAAATTCATTTCATGATGCATTTCCAGTTATGAAACATTTAAGATGCCACAATCATTATGCAAACGATCTCAAAAAATGGTTAAAAGAGGATTTTAACAAACAGTATCGTTCAATTAGTAAACGTTCAAAACGACCAAAAACAATATCCGTTAATAAAAACAAACATGATGATGAAAACGAAGATAATGACAACGAAGATGAAAATAACAATGAAGTGAATATTCAACAAACAACATTAACTGTAAATATATCGGAAGATGAATTATATAAACAAATGAAAGAGCAACATGTCACACAACACATGGATGATGTTCTCAATTTATTACGAAGTCAATCGAAGCAACTGTTCTTAATCGATTACGAACAAATGAAAAAACGGTGGTGTCCAAGATTTAAGAAATATTTTGAAACGTGGCATTTACCACATATTGATGAATTGGGTGAGCCTGTTCGCACTTTGCCTCTTCAGCACTAGTCTCCTTGAGGGGAGTTCTTTATCAGAATAATATTTTAACGGGTTTTCTCACAGCTTCATTTCTTGATTTAGGGGGTTGAATTGGTCGAAGTTATGAAGTGTTTGATGAAATATCCGGTGTAACATCAAACCCAATAGAAAGTATCAATGCAGTTGTAAAAAAGTGGGTATCGTGGGAACATCAGTCAGTCGATGTTTTTGTTCGATGTTGATGTATCTGTATATGGGATTCTATATTAATGAAGTAAAGCGTGGCTTTTGTGATATGGGTAAATATCTTATTTTTCAGTTTTGATTTTACACACGTATCGTGCTTTCTCTCAACTTATGTTTTATAGGAACCTATCAGTGACAGAAGCATACAAAAATCATAAAACTGATCCATCTTTATTATCTTTGGTGGTATCATATAATCCAGATGACATTCTAAAGAAAATGAAAGAATTCCTAACGTTCCAGCCTTCATCTGCACCGGTATCCACTCAATTGGCTGCACAACTACCTGGATTTTTATATGAAACTGATAAGGATAGAAATTCCCACGACGATTCGTTATCACCACCTGTTACAACAACAAGAATGGTCGATTTGCCATCTGAATCCGTTCAACAAAAATCATTAACTACAACCGCTAAAGTTGGCTTATTAATTGATCAAGACAGGGTAAAATTTGATCCGCAATCAAAAGTGTTTAATGTTCGCTCGTTGGATGATAAAAATATCTATTATATTCACATGAGAGATCCGAAGCGTCTATTTAAATGTTCATGCCCAAATATGCAGCAATCATGTTCACATGTGAGTATGCCGTTTCCTTATCGTGTATCACGTCACTTTTTGGGAATCTTTCAGATTACAGCGGTGAAAGTGGTATTAGGTGCATATGTAAATGAAAAACCGACAAAAGTTAATATGGAACAAGAAAGAAAACGAAAGAATAAAGAAGATAAAATTGGAGTAGGAGGGAAGAAAAGACCACGACGAACTGATAAAGAAGCAAATAAAATTTATTTATCAAAATCAATCTCCGAACACATCAATAATAATACAACATTGTCTTCGACATTAGCAACAACCGTTTTAGAAACACCTTTACAGGATATTACAAATCGCATTTCATCATCGTCACCATTAACACGTCACGATTATTCATCAACTCGAAGTATTATACTGGTGCCGTCACAACAAAAGCCAGCCCATCCATGCATCAATACAACATCATTCGCACCAACAACAAATCGAAACACTTTTCAAACACCTCAATTTCCTGTATTATATACTCTCGTTCATAAAACATAAAGACAGTAAATATTCTTATACAGTGCAATGAAAGTTTTTTTATATTAAAGAATCATTGTTTTAAATAATCTCGCAATAAATATTTTTGTACAGTCCAATGAAATTGTCGTTTTATATTAAAGAAACTGTTGTTTTATATACTCTCGCAATAAATATTTTTATACAGTGCAATGAAAGTTTTTTTCATATTATATTTTTGTACAGTGCATGGAACTCGTTTTATATTAAACAAACTATTGTTTTATATACTCCCGCAATAAACATTTTTATATAGGGAAATGAAAATTTTCTTCCAATTATATTCTTATACAGGGCCATGGAAGCTTTTCTCTAAACGAACACACGTTCGTCAATGGGAATATAGTGCGGTGCTATCCTACTGTTGAATTCACTCTCACTGACGAACACCATTAACGAACACACGTTCGTCAATGGGAATATAATGCGGTGCTATCTATCCTACTGTTGAATTCACTCTCACTGACGATTTCCAGAACTTCCAGAACGAATCTCGTTCTCAGAACTTTCGCGCGAATTAGTGAGGAATATCTTTGCTTGTGACGTGATGAACTAAAAGTGGGAGAACTCTTAAACAGTAAGAAATATTCTTTTAGTTTTGTCCGGTAGCGCAGAGAGTAGTTTCATGTTTTCTTTTAAAAAGGAGAATATTTCAATAAATTACAGTTGTTTTCAGATAAAACAATTTGTGACAATGCCCTTTCGTGTAGTTTTAAGCGAGAAATTCCAGAATGATGGTAAGCTAGCTTGGATTTTTAGTAGGATCTGATGTTATCTCTATCGCTTTTACTAGTTCAAGTTATTGATCATATAGATCAATTGCTAAGTAATAAAGGTTGGCCACTGTTTATTACACCGTGCACAAAACCAGAATTTCAAAATAAATTAGTGATATTGTATGAAAGTGAAGATGGTGAGTAAAATTCATTTATTATATTTCCGCTTACTATTTTGCTTCTGTTTACTCCGCAGGTAAAAATGGTGATTGTATTCGTGAGTTTGTGCCGCAAAATTCAAAATCGAAGTTTATTCTTCAAATTGAAAACGGTTTGAAAACGTTGACGGTCAAAGGTGAATTCAAAAAAAAACCGTCAGAAGCGTCAACAAGAAAAACAAGAAGGTCAAAGTACGTTTTTATTGTCGTACTTTTAAACGGGCAATCCGAATGAATAGTATTTTACGTTTAGGAACGAGATTGATTTTAAGCAGACGTCAGTTTGTATGTCTAATTTTGAAAGAATTTTCAAATCATGGTCGTATTCATGGCTTTGGTGTGCTGGCTAACGGTATTAATCAAAAATACAAAAATAGCCATGTCTTTGTGCGTCAAAGAGCTAAAAAAATTTCGAAAATAATGTTTGTGAAAGCAATTTTTGAACTTTTATATTGATAATCGTTAGTTTTAATCTGTAAATTTAGCTGTGATGAAAAACTGGTGACGTTTAAAGCAACCGATGATAGCACTTCATCCGATGATGAAGATGATGCTCCTCCACTTCAGACAACGAAAGGTCAAACAAGCAAGTAACTTTACAGACGTCTTCATAATTTGGACATCGCTGAACTTTGACTTGCTAATTTTTCCTTGTCCGCTTGGAATGATATTTTAGTTAAAAAGCGGCTTCCACAGCCAGAAATCCACAGTCATCATCGTCATTCGAGGAAGAAACTGAGCCTTCTGATTCAAAAACAAAACAGTCAGGTAATTAATTTTTCCTTTTAAAATCTTAGTGCATTAGTTGCATTCGCGATTTTTGTCTCTAACTGTCATGTGGCCCGGAAAGAAAACCAAAAAGTTTTTCGATGCTTAATGGAAGGATATAGTCAAAACGAAAAGTTTCTTCTGTTCTTTACGTTTAAATAAAAAATAAATAAAAATAATAACAGCTAACAAAAAGTACCATGAAAAAAACATATGTGTGAGTGTGTCATTTTTGCCCTTTCTTGCTTTGAAAAATCGGGTCAACGACAAAAATCGCGAATACAATTAATGCACTAAGATTTTAAAAAGAAAAAGTTAGTTATTTGACTGTTTTGTTTTTGAATCAGAAGGCTCAGTTTCTTCGTCGAATGATGACGATGATGACAGTTCAGTTCAATTGAAAAAGCAGTTGAGTTTGAATTGTGTTTCAATTCGTAATCAGTTGAAGTGAAGCAAGTTCAGGTCAAATTATAACAGACGACCTAGAATGAACTGAACTGACTAAAATATGAATTAGTTTATCAAGCTCTGATCTATAGATAGGTCACCCTTTTTTATCTGCCGGAAGATAGTCGGTGAACGGCTTTTTCTTTGTTCGAGAGGGCGATAATTATCGGTGCAATCTACGATTCTTATGCTTTCAGAAAAGATCATCTATTTTTTTCCTTACATTATAGCTAACTTACAACAATTAACTACAATAAAGTGAGCAGCTCATCAGTTATCTTTTTTGTACGATGCGTACAGTTAAATTTGCCTGTTGAAAAGCGGTGCTCTTAATAAACTTGTTTTTTGTCTTTTTTTTCATTTTAGTAAACCAGAACCTCGAAAAAAAGCATTATCAACAACGGCAGCAAGTTCACAAACAAGGACAAACGTTTTAACTTCAACAGAAAATAAAATCAATGATAACGGTGAGTATTTTGCACCCTCAGTTTTCAGCTCAGTGGAGAACTTCACACACTTTTTCGTGAATACTCATAGGATTTTTAAAATTCTCTGTGGACGCGAACCCACGAGGACTGAAACTAAAAGAGTTTGCGTTTTTATAAATCTTACTAGCGAAAGAGCAAGAAAATTAAAACAAAATACAGTATGGGATATGAAGAGAAAAGTTCACTTTTTTTGTACTCAGAAAAGTAAACAACTATCTTCTTGATGCTGATCTACAGCTGTGTTTCCTTCGCTTTTTTCCATGAACACTTTGAACAACGGACTCACTCGACAAATTTTATTCTTCTTCTCCGCATGCTAAGACTGAAAAACAATCTTCTTTGTTTCATTTGGATTTGAAGCAATAAATTAAATTCTATCTTGCTTGCAGATTCAGCTACAAAAACTGGTCAAAAACGATCAAAAAGTCGTGAACATTTATCATCTTCCCAAGCAGTCACAGCTGATACATCCATCACATCATCACTAAGAACAAACGTCACGCCAAATACAGTTTCTAAACCAAATGTAAAACGTCCTCGACGTAATGCGAATCAAATGTTAGATCCTTGGTCGTGGATTGCCAGAAAGCAGATGTAGAAGAAATATTAACGATCTTGTTTTTTGTGAGAAAAAAAATGTAGAACTTGATCTGATTTGTATATAAAAGAAACCAAACTAAGCAACAATTTGCTCGAAGAAAAAACAGCCTAGTTTAGCAGAGAATCAGAATAGAAAATAAGAGAACGCTGTTTCAGTTAATTTACAGCGTGTTTTTGAGCAAAACACGAAATGGGCTGAGAAAATGAAGTTTGGGTTTCATATAGTGCTTAATATAGTTCTGATTTTTTGCTAATCCCTGTATCACACTTACGAACATGCGTAAATAGGTCTGTATACTAACTACAGCCATTTTTCTGCAGAATTCGACAAAAATCAAAAGCCAATCACATATAGTCTGCATGCAGAAATTCTGCAGCGAGTTCTGCGTTTTATTATTCCGCCGTTCGAAATGTTTTGCTTTTTTATCCAACGACAATATTGGTACTTCTACAGATTGAAGCGACTCAACAAAAAACGTTTAATCCACATTATTTTGGATTGAATTAGAAGATTTATCAAGCTTGTCCAGGTAAAAGCGCAGTCTGATTCATCTACCAGCGACAAGCGCTTTAAAACTTTGCAGTCAAATTTGTTTTATTTTGTATGTCACAATTACTGATGCTATTTAAAGAAATAATTCCCATTTATCGTGCAAAATAGTTGATGTGTCCAGTTCATAACGTATAACCGCTTTGTTTTCTCTTCGACCAATCATCGCTCACACGTCTTCACGCAAACGCCAAACTCACACGCCTTTTACTCTTACCCGATAGTAGATGGTTAAACATATTACTATGTCTAAATACATGAACTTATAGAGTAAACAACCGTCTTTGAAATGAGCCATGAAACACAGAGGTGGGATCGGTTCGGTTTAAAAGTTTTAAGAAATAAGGTCGGTTCGGTTCGATTCGGTTCGAAAATTTTTCAGTTCGACTCGGTTCGGTTGAAAGTTTTTCCAAAACTAGATCGGTTCGATTCGATTCGGTTTGAAAAAAATAGATGTTACTCCGAACTGGCATAGTTTAATTTTTTATGACTGGATTACGCTTGAACAAGATACAATGCAGAAGAATGGACAATGGACACCATTGTTCTTTGGTTTTACGTTCTTCAGACCGGAGGTGGGATCGGTTCGGTTTCAGACCAACCGAACCGAAATCGGTTCGGTTTAAAAGTTTTAAGAAATCAGGTCGGTTCGGTTCGATTCGGTTCGAAAATTTTTCAGTTCGATTCGGTTCGGTTCGGAAGTGTTTCGGTTTATTTCGCTTCGGTTATAAAAATATACGAACCGATCCCACCTCTGATGAAACAATCAGAGGGATTTGATAGTTTCAAAAAAAACCGGAAAACATGAAAATTTGTAAAAATTCACGTTTTTTGGTAAGCGGAGTGACCCTCAATAGAGTGTTTGGTCTCTAGTTTTTTAAAAAGCACTTCCTGAAAGAATTATTGCAGGATTAGTGGTTATTTTGTATACGCTTTTGAATGAGACATGAATATAAATAAAATAAAATTTATCTCAAAACAGCCTTAGCTAAATCCGTTTTCTGGCGAACGTTCTCTTAATTGTTCAGACTGAAATGGTGACTGCACATTCAAATTATAAGTTACATTTGTTACGCATGCTAAATACCAGAACGCTCATTTTCAGAGCTTTAACGGACGGGGGCGATTACTTGACGAAATCGGCCCCAGCTTGAATTCCATCGACACATACATGGTTAGATGCAGAATGAACCGGAGAACATTTCTAGCCACTTGGCAGACCTTAGAAATGCTCTCAGGAAAAACTAGGCCGAATTTACTCAAACCAAAGTTCTGCTCTTCTTTCTTCAACGGTGAGGATTCCATGCTCCACACTTGTCTACTCGCCACGACGACACATATACCATTCGATAGAGAATTTCCCCCGCTACAATTTCATATATACAAAGTAGTGAAAAAGGTGTCCTAGGGCAGCTTGACATTAGAAATACTGTCTGGAAAGCCGTGAAAAGTGGGTGATTTATTCAACGGTGATCATCCTGTGCTCCACACTTATCCATTAGCCACGACGATACATATACCATTCGATAGAGAATTTCACGCGCTACAATTTCATATATACAAAGTAGTGAAAAAAGTCTTCTAGGCCGGCTTGAAAGGGGAGATATATTTATAAGCGGTTTATTTGAAAGAGAAAACATTTTAATGTTGATAATAAGATATAAACCACCTTTATCATAATGCAAAATATCGCTATTTTCTGTAAGAGACGTTTCGTCTTTATTCAAAAGACATCATCAGTCAAATGTGACACTCGGTAGTTGATTATGAAGACAGAAAAATAAGAGATAAAAGAAAATACAAGTAAGTAAAACACAACAAAATAAAACAGATCGAACAGAAAGAACTTTCTATTTTCTACTATATATGTGAACTATGTACAAGGTCATCAAAATACTTTAAGGGCAAAGCTTTTTTGTGAATAGATTTTTTCCATTTTAATGTAAATTTCTGTGTCGTTAAAAGAGATGCATGCCGAATCATTATGGGTGTATAGAGAAAGACGGTGGATATGTTGTGTTGTCAAATAAAGAATATTATACGAAAATGACCCAGGCAATAATATATCAAAGTCCAGGCACGCGCATAGAAAGAAAAGAGTTTGTCTAGGTGGGAACGAAATCAAATGACAAAGAGAAAGAGAAACAAAAGCGCGTTAGAAGAAAAGAACACGTTATTCTTCTTCTATAAATCTTTTTGTTGTTGAAATATAGTTTATGACTGCACGGTGTGTGTATGAAAAATGTTCTTTCGAAAGAGATACGTTTAATAAAAGAAGATCAAGACTAAGAGTAGGAGTGTTTTTTGTTGTTAAGATTTCGTTTGTAGGAATTGTTCTTTGAGCGTAGTATAATATACACTCCAGTGGATGATACTGAACTGTTACTATCTTTCCACGCTTACTAAAGTATTTATTGAACGAAGAAGTACTGATTTTTTATTTCTGCACCAAAACAAAAGGATATTTAGTTGATACTAGAAGAGGTTGGAGAAAACTGACGTGACCTAAACAAATGTAACAAAAAAAAAAGCAGGTGTAGAGTTACTATAATTGATCACATGCCTACTTGTTCAGGCTAGTCTATATCTTGTCTGATTGTCCTCATCGTCGTCTTCAAAATCAGTTATTTGTATGCTATCAGACGCATTTAGCAAATGTGAGCCAGATGATTGTACTCGCTGGTGAGATTGCCATCGTTCGAATCCAAGAAACCATATAGCTGATGCAACATGTGAACAACAACCAACAACTCTACTACCGATTGGACCTAGAGAGAAAATGTTAAAGTAAATCAGGAGCGAAGCACGAATTTGTAGCCATGAGTAACGTACACTGACAGTACCAACCAACAACTTTTGATTTACTAAACCGAATAGTTGGATAGTATGTTTTTCGTTTGGAATGCGCAGACTTTGGTATAACACGGCATAGATCCGGTTTTGTTTTGCATACTTGTACGGCATACTTAATTGACAGATTAGTGAGATCTGTTGATGAAGCATATTCCTCGGCATAGCTGCGAGCACGCTTGAGTTGGAATATTCCTATACGAATGATTGATTAAACGCTTAGTTAGACGAAAGGGGAAATGTGATTATTATTTACCGAACGTCAGCTTTCGTATTTGACTTTCAGTCAAAATTGGAAATTCAAGAAATTCAGTTGCATTGACAGTTGTCCAGTTTGAGAATCGCGATAAATTGCTCTCGTTAAGCAACTGAAAAAGATCAAACTTTATATTAGCATCCAGTGAAAGATAATTTTATAGTCTGTTATCTGTAGCGAAGGAAGCTTATTTTTCAAAGTGTCCGTTGCACATCTCACTTCTCAGGTAGCATATTGCTTAGCATTACCTGTTCAACAAGATTTGGCTTGTTTACTAATTCAAGCATTTCTTTTGATGACTCAATATCGCCAGGTTTTGATTTTAATACTTCCGGTTTGTAACAATTAATTAATGCACAAGCTATTGAAAGATAAATCTTTAGATCTTTAATTGACGAGTTCTGAAATGTTTGTGAAAATAATTAGAATTGTTTTAACTGAGCATTAACCATTTCTACGACCGATCTGATTTTGGTAATTAAACGCGATTTGTTGGCTTCGATAGTTGTGAACTGCTTCCGCTTTCTTAGAAATGGTGGCATAGCAACATGTAGTCCCAATGCATGCATTACACCAACACAATCCCGGAAACCACGGTCTACCACGAATATATCATCCTACGTAAAATGAAAATGGCAGAAAACATCAATGACACATATCTTTAAATAAATAATTTCCTGTTACTTCTAAAATCCAATCTAATATTTTTTCGGTATTGTTCAATAAAATATCTTTCATCATAGATGCATCATTATTACTAAAATCGTCGTGGCTAGTGGACAAGTGTGGAGCACAGAATCCTCCCCGTTGAATAAATCACCCACTTTTCACGGCTTTTCAGACAGTATTTCTAATGTCAAGGTGCCCTAGGACACCTTTTTCACTACTTTGTATATATGAAATTGTAGCGGGGGAAATTCTCTATCGAATGGTATATGTGTCGTCGTGGCGAGTAGACAAGTGTGGAGCATGGAATCCTCACCGTTGAAGAAAGAAGAGCAGAACTTTGGTTTGAGTAAATTCGGCCTAGTTTTTTCTGAGAGCATTTCTAAGGTCTGCCAAGTGGCTAGAAATGTTCTCCGGTTCATTCTGCATCTAACCATGTATGTGTCGATGGAATTCAAGCTGGGGCCGATTTCGTCAAGTAATCGCCCCCGTCCTTTAGTTCGACCTTATTTGTTCTGGAGCTCCTGCATTAGGACATCTACATGGTTGGGTGCTTTTCAAGTTAGTTTCGAATACTTCTGTGGGTTATCAAAGATTTTCTACCGCCCTTTTGGGCAATTTGCGGGACTATTTATACTTTAGCTCTCAAAAAAGGAGGAACCATTGGAAAAATCTGATGAAGCATTCTTGCTCTTTGAGATTTATATTTATGATTCTATAACAAAGTGAGAGATCAAAGAATAACAATACAATAATTAAAGCTGTACTGCTATATCTGTTTCGTACATTTTCACTGAATTTGTAAGGCTCGTTAGCTTCTCATACTGTACTAATTCACCTACGAAAGGACATCTGAATAAGCTGTACGTCCTTCATTGTTATGGCTGACATATTTCTTTATTTATTTTAAATCTTCTTGGATTTCCACAATTTTTCAATAGATGACAGAATATTGGATTTATGGAATGACATTGTAATCTGCTATATGCTTTTGGACACGTTATTTGTTGAATAAGTCCAGCCTGTTTATCTGCCCATGGAACAATATCACGGTCATGAATAATATTAAATACACGTTGATTAATTGAATCCATGAGAATATTTTTCGTTTCATCATATTTAGCACGTGAATACGATACACCCGGCCCACTAATTGATATAATAACTGCTGTATTATTTAATGCAATACCAGCTAGTTTAGCCAGACCACCACCAAGTGAATGTCCAATTAATATCAATGTTTTATTCTTATATTTATCATTTATCTGTTCTAAGATTTTAATCATTTGTTTAACATAAAAACGTTTGGATGATTGTTCTAATTTATTACTATTATCACTAATGAAATTTTCTAATAATGACATTTGTTTCACAATTATTTTATGAACAGCACGAGGATATAATCTTGACCATGGAAATAAAATTGAAATCATTTGACTTATTGATGATTCTGTCCATATATCAAAATCAATTAACCATTCATAGAGTAATGTTGTACCACGTATAACTACAATAACTGCTTCTGATGTATCTAGAGTATAATAAGTTATTTCACCATGGCCATATTCTTTGCAATTATGAAATTTCTCATCAAAAATGAATTCATTATTTGGATAAAAATGTTTTATATCTGATTTTAATTGTTCTGTTGGCAAATAAGCTAATGCAGCCAGTAGGGTCATATCTTGTATATTAAATTTACTAAATTTCCAATAACATGCTTGCATTTGATATTGTTGTTGTTCATCCTTGTCAAACGTATTAAAATTACCAGATAATTTTTTATAATTTAACAATGAGTCATCTTTATTATGCATCGTTTCTGCATAAACCGAACTTCCAAAACTAAACCCAAAAAATCCAATTAAAGAAAGTATAATAAACATTGCTGAAAATGCATGGACGTAAATGCTTATCGATTCATGACTCTTTTTCCACTTTATTAGGGCAATTGTTGATGATGAATATTTTACCCAATGTGCTACATAATAGACTAATAATACAATTGTATAAACTAATAAAAAAAGTAAACAAATTAAAGCTATCCAGCTTCTAAATGCATAAAAATATAATAAAACTAGAACACCCACAAACGATGTTAAACACATTAAAAGTAATAAAATTTGTACAAGAATTATTTGTATATTTAAAATCACTTGATTTGTTTTTTCATTAAAAAAAGGTGGTAACCAAAGTAGAATGAGAATCGATTTTACAATGATTCCCATTATTAATGTATTTTTTTCATTAGAAAATTGTGTAAACATATAATGTAATGATAAGAACATTGCATAAAGAATACTCAATATAAATAATTTATATGTATGAAATTGTTTATTTTTCTTCATTGTTAATGATGATTGAATAATTCTTTCAATTAATTTTACTAAAAAATTACGTTTATAAAATAAATTTTTTTCTATAATTGATTTTTTATTATAACAGCAACAACATATATTATCAATACCAATATGAATAATTTTTATTGGTGTTTGATTATATAGTAAAATATAAATAGAAAATAATAGAAGTACTATTACATGATGTGGTATATTTAATCCCATTAAATTTATTTGTCGATTATTAAAAGTTACTATCATTATGAATGAAAATAATAGAATGATACGAAAATATTGTATATCTGAATTTTTTTCATTCTCATCAATTTGACTTTTAAAATTATCATTATTATTATTGATATCATCTATTTTAGCATAATAACTTTTTCTAACGAACGAACAAATACCAAATAAATGCATTATATGCAAAAACCACATTAATCCTAATGGAATAAGACCTAATGATATGATTAAACTAGTTAATAAATCTTCAGAAAGATAAATTTTTCGAAATATAATATAAATAGTTGTACAAAATGTGATAATAATACGATAAATTTCTTTCATAGATATATATGTAAACTTTTTCTGTGGAAAACATAATAAAGCATCATCATTATTGTCATCATCTTTTTTATCTACTAATTTTATTTGTTGTCCATCTTTAGAACAACAATGACATTTATATTTTGTCTCTTCATAAATTTGTTCTCGTTTAATTTCTTCATTTGTATAACAATGAAAACCAAATTGTATAATAAACCAAAAATAATGAGATGAAAATGATATAATACCAGGTAATAAAAAGTAACATGATAGAAAAAATATAAAATTAATTCCTGATAATGATTTATTATTAGAATGTAAAAATGGCATAAATAATAATTGTAAAACAACATTTAATGAATAACCAATCCATAGAACTGCTGCTTGTAATATTAATAATAATGTTAATAATCTTGAATACAATGAATAACCAAATATGTATAAGACGAGTTTTAATAATAAATTTAACACATATTTCCATGAAAATACTGGATAACAACCAGGACAATATTCTGAATAATTGTCACATGTTCGTATTATTGACTCTGAATTATTAACATTTTCTGCCATATTCGAATTTTAGAGAGAATATGAATTTTGCTAAAGTGTACAGTAATAAAAGACAAAAAAGTGTGTCAACATAATAAAATTGAAAAGCAAAAATATCGGAAGAGAAACGAAAGAAATATGTATCCAATATCATTAATATTTAATATAGTTAATAGAATGACTCACTTTACGTTTTTTTAATTGTTGACAAAGCTAACAATTCTCATATTCTGTAGAAAGTTTATATTTGCACAAGATCTGTCAAGTTTCTTGATCTCAAAGAATGTTTCACAATTCTTTCTTATCAAGTTTTTTTTGAGAAATCTGCCTGCAAAAATCTTGATAAGATTTGAAAACTTTTCTGTAATTAATAAAATCTTTGCCAACAAAGAAAGTTAGCAATCATTTTGATTACGACATAACCTCAGAGGTTTCGACAAAGATGTAAATATGCCAACTTTGCATGTATTTTTAGGTATTATAGTACTACAGTGTAGAGGACTTCTGTTAAAATTTTGTTGGTCGATAGAGTAGACAAATAAATATGTTATTCTTTCAATCATCATTTTGTTTGACATTGTTCTTGCATATATAAGAATAAATACTTGCACTAAAGAATACTGAAAACTTTGAAAGTGAAATTCAAACATTGTGCTTGAATGTATGGTAGCTCGTGCACTTTCAACAGCTCTAATACTGTATGCATAGTAGCGTAGAGCTTACACTGTAGTGCTACAGTAGAAAAAAAAATAAAAATATAACGTAGAAAATAAAGTTTAAGATTTTCTTTCAAATTTCCAAATCTGTTAATAAATATTCTGATTATTGTGTATTAAATTAATCATTTCAGAATTCTTGAAATATCTTGACAAGATCTGCTCAAGATTTGTCACGACAGATTCTGATACCAAACTTGTAGAAAATCTGCAGCTTTGCTCTCCATTCGAAATCTTAACAGATTTCGATAAATCTGCACAAGTTCTTGAAAGATCTGCGGCAAAACTTGAGAAATCTTTAAAGATTTATCAAGATCTGCATTCAAGATTTTTCTCCTGGGAGTGAATCTAAAGTTTTGTAACCTTTTCTTCGACGAATTCAAATGAGACGTAGAAGAAGATAGAGCAAATGATGATTTAGAATCAGAATTACTCTTTAAAAAAAAAGGCATATGCTGAAAAAAGAAAAGGTGTAGGAACAATGGTACTATATGTTTTATTTTCAAAGATTTTTTTTTCATCATAATCTATCCTAAAATTCTTTTCAAATTCTGACTAGAAACGGATAAAAAATAATAAAAAGTGCTTTT